TGATGGTAAACGCAACCGAGGACTTCTCGATATGAGGTTGAACCTTGATGTTTTTTACCACAGGAAGGCATCGTCCGAGGCCGTTGTGTACAGCATTTTAACAGAAAAGATACTTGGTAGCAAAACCTTTAATATTTGAAAAGGCAAAGCAAGTTGTCTGGCGTTTAATTTAAAAAGTAGTACTGTTTCTGCCCGGTCTCGAAACGTGGACCTTTCGCGTGTGAGGCGAACGTGATAAATGCTACACTACAGAAACTGCCTCTTTGGTCAAAAGCCTGCAGACTGGCAGCCCAATAAATGTCTGTTTACTAAAACTGCACATCCACTGCAAATTCTATTTAGTCACCTGGAACTGAATTGGCAAAGAGGCCTCCTTAGCGCAGTAGCTAGTGGGTCAGTCTCATAATCTGAAGGTCGTGAGTTCGTCCCTGACAGTGGGCATGTTTTTAAAAGCTCATTTTTCAAAAGTGGCTCTGCCCCGAAAAGCCTTAGTTTTAATTGATGGTAACAGCAACCGAGGACTTCTCGATATGAGGTTGAACCTTGATGTTTTTTACCACAGGAAGGCATTGAGGCCGTTGGTACCGCATTTTAACAGAAAAGATACTTGGTATATTTTCTGTTAAAACGATAGAGCGAGAGACGAGAGCTCGACCGTACTGCCTGGTTGAACCTTGATGTTTTTTACCACAGGAAGGCATCGTCCGAGGCCGTTGTGTACCGCATTTTAACAGAAAAGATACTTGGTAGCAAAACCTTTAATATTTGAAAAGGCAAAGCAAGTTGTCTGGCGTTTAATCTAAAAAGTAGTACTGTTTCTGCCCGGTCTCGAACCGGGGACCTTTCGCGTGTGAGGCGAACGTGATAACCACTACACTACAGAAACTGCCTCTTCAGTCCTAAGCCTGCAGATTGGCAGCCCAACAAATGTCTGTTTACTAAAACTGCACATCCACTGCAAATTCTATTTAGTCACCTGGAACTAAATTGGCAAAGAGGCCTCCTTAGCGCAGTAGCTAGTGGGTCAGTCTCATAATCTGAAGGTCGTGAGTTCGTCCCTGACAGTGGGCATGTTTTTAAAAGCTCATTTTTCAAAAGTGGCTCTGCCCCGAAAAGCCTTAGTTTTAATTGATGGTAAAGCGAGGACTTAGTTGAGGTTGAACCTTGATGTTTTTTACCACAGGAAGGCATCGTCCGAGGCCGTACCGCATTTTAACAGAAAAGACTTATTTTCTGATATGAGGTTGAACCTGGTTGAACCTTGATGTTTTTTACCACAGGAAGGCATCGTCCGAGGCCGTTGTGTACAGCATTTTAACAGAAAAGATACTTGGTAGCAAAACCTTTAATATTTGAAAAGGCAAAGCAAGTTGTCTGGCGTTTAATTTAAAAAGTAGTACTGTTTCTGCCCGGTCTCGAACCGGGGACCTTTCGCGTGTGTGAGGCGAACGTGATAACCACTACACTACAGAAACTGCCTCTTCAGTCCTAAGCCTGCAGATTGGCAGCCCAACAAATGTCTGTTTACTAAAACTGCACATCCACTGCAAATTCTATTTAGTCACCTGGAACTGAATTGGCAAAGAGGCCTCCTTAGCGCAGTAGCTAGTGGGTCAGTCTCATAATCTGAAGGTCGTGAGTTCGTCCCTGACAGTGGGCATGTTTTTAAAAGCTCATTTTTCAAAAGTGGCTCTGCCCCGAAAAGCCTTAGTTTTAATTGATGGTAAACAGCAACGAGGACTTCTCGATATGAGGTTGAACCTTGATGTTTTTTACCACAGGACTTCTCGATTTTAACAGAAAAGAGGTTGAACCTGGTTGAACCTTGATGTTTTTTACCACAGGAAGGCATCGTCCGAGGCCGTTGTGTACAGCATTTTAACAGAAAAGATACTTGGTAGCAAAACCTTTAATATTTGAAAAGGCAAAGCAAGTTGTCTGGCGTTTAATCTAAAAAGTAGTACTGTTTCTGCCCGGTCTCGAACCGTGGACCTTTCGCGTGTGAGGCGAACGTGATAACCACTACACTACAGAAACTGCCTCTTCAGTCCTAAGCCTGCAGATTGGCAGCCCAACAAATGTCTGTTTACTAAAACTGCACATCCACTGCAAATTCTATTTAGTCACCTGGAACTGAATTGGCAAAGAGGCCTCCTTAGCGCAGTAGCTAGTGGGTCAGTCTCATAATCTGAAGGTCGTGAGTTCGTCCCTGACAGTGGGCATGTTTTTAAAAGCTCATTTTTCAAAAGTGGCTCTGCCCCGAAAAGCCTTAGTTTTAATTGATGGTAAACGCAACCGAGGACTTCTCGATATGAGGTTGAACCTTGATGTTTTTTACCACAGGAAGGCATCGTCCGAGGCCGTTGTGTACCGCATTTTAACAGAAAAAAGATATTTTCTTGGTAGCAAAACTGCCTTTAATATGTTTTTTGAAAAGGCAAAGCAAGTTAACAGAAAAGTCTGGTAGCAAAACCTTTAAATTTGAAAAGGCAAAGCAAGTTGTCTGGCGTTTAATCTAAAAAGTAGTACTGTTTCTGCCCGGTCTCGAACCGGGGACCTTTCGCGTGTGAGGCGAACGTGATAACCACTACACTACAGAAACTGCCTCTTCAGTCCTAAGCCTGCAGATTGGCAGCCCAACAAATGTCTGTTTACTAAAACTGCACATCCACTGCAAATTCTATTTAGTCAACTGGAACTAAATTGGCAAAGAGGCCTCCTTAGCGCAGTAGCTAGTGGGTCAGTCTCATAATCTGAAGGTCGTGAGTTCGATCCTGACAGTGGGCATGTTTTTAAAAGCTCATTTTTCAAAAGTGGCTCTGCCCCGAAAAGCCTTAGTTTTAATTGATGGTAAACGCAACCGAGGACTTCTCGATATGAGGTTGAACCTTGATGTTTTTTACCACAGGAAGGCATCGTCCGAGGCCGTTGTGTACCGCATTTTAACAGAAAAGATACTTGGTAGCAAAACCTTTAATATTTGAAAAGGCAAAGCAAGTTGTCTGGCGTTTAATTTAAAAAGTAGTACTGTTTCTGCCCGGTCTCGAACCGGGGACCTTTCGCGTGTGAGGCGAACGTGATAAATGCTACACTACAGAAACTGCCTCTTTGGTCAAAAGCCTGCAGATTGGCAGCCCAATAAATGTCTGTTTACTAAAACTGCACATCCACTGCAAATTCTATTTAGTCACCTGGAACTGAATTGGCAAAGAGGCCTCCTTAGCGCAGTAGCTAGTGGGTCAGTCTCATAATCTGAAGGTCGTGAGTTCGTCCCTGACAGTGGGCATGTTTTTAAAAGCTCATTTTTCAAAAGTGGCTCTGCCCCGAAAAGCCTTAGTTTTAATTGATGGTAACAGCAACCGAGGACTTCTCGATATGAGGTTGAACCTTGATGTTTTTTACCACAGGAAGGCATCGTCCGAGGCCGTTGTGTACCGCATTTTAACAGAAAAGATATTTTCTTGGTAGCAAAACCTTTGAATATGTTTTTTGAAAAGGCAAAGCATTTTAACAGAAAAGATACTTGGTAGCAAAACCTTTAATATTTGAAAAGGCAAAGCAAGTTGTCTGGCGTTTAATCTAAAAAGTAGTACTGTTTCTGCCCGGTCTCGAACCGGGGACCTTTCGCGTGTGAGGCGAACGTGATAACCACTACACTACAGAAACTGCCTCTTCAGTCCTAAGCCTGCAGATTGGCAGCCCAACAAATGTCTGTTTACTAAAACTGCACATCCACTGCAAATTCTATTTAGTCAACCGGAACTAAATTGGCAAAGAGGCCTCCTTAGCGCAGTAGCTAGTGGGTCAGTCTCATAATCTGAAGGTCGTGAGTTCGTCCCTGACAGTGGGCATGTTTTTAAAAGCTCATTTTTCAAAAGTGGCTCTGCCCCGAAAAGCCTTAGTTTTAATTGATGGTAAACGCAACCGAGGACTTCTCGATATGAGGTTGAACCTTGATGTTTTTTACCACAGGAAGGCATCGTCCGAGGCCGTTGTGTACAGCATTTTAACAGAAAAGATACTTGGTAGCAAAACCTGCCTTTAATATTTGAAAAGGCAAAGCGCATTTTAAAGTTGTCTGGCAAAACCTTTAATATTTGAAAAGGCAAAGCAAGTTGTCTAAAAAGTAGTACTGTTTCTGCCCGGTCTCGAACCGGGGACCTTTCGCGTGTGAGGCGAACGTGATAACCACTACACTACAGAAACTGCCTCTTCAGTCCTAAGCCTGCAGATTGGCAGCCCAACAAATGTCTGTTTACTAAAACTGCACATCCACTGCAAATTCTATTTAGTCAACTGGAACTAAATTGGCAAAGAGGCCTCCTTAGCAGTAGTTAGCTAGTGGGTCAGTCTCATAATCTGAAGGTCGTGAGTTCGATCCTGACAGTGGGCATGTTTTTAAAAGCTCATTTTTCAAAAGTGGCTCTGCCCCGAAAAGCCTTAGTTTTAATTGATGGTAAACGCAACCGAGGACTTCTCGATATGAGGTTGAACCTTGATGTTTTTTACCACAGGAAGGCATCGTCCGAGGCCGTTGTGTACAGCATTTTAACAGAAAAAAGATATTTTCTTGGTAGCAAAACTGCCTTTAATATTTGAAAAGGCAAAGCATTTTAAAGTTGTCTGTAGCAAAACCTTTAAATTTGAAAAAAAGTAGTACTGTTTCTGCCCGGTCTCGAACCGGGGACCTTTCGCGTGTGAGGCGAACGTGATAACCACTACACTACAGAAACTGCCTCTTCAGTCCTAAGCCTGCAGATTGGCAGCCCAACAAATGTCTGTTTACTAAAACTGCACATCCACTGCAAATTCTATTTAGTCACCTGGAACTGAATTGGCAAAGAGGCCTCCTTAGCGCAGTAGCTAGTGGGTCAGTCTCATAATCTGAAGGTCGTGAGTTCGATCCTGACAGTGGGCATGTTTTTAAAAGCTCATTTTTCAAAAGTGGCTCTGCCCCGAAAAGCCTTAGTTTTAATTGATGGTAAACGCAACCGAGGACTTCTCGATATGAGGTTGAACCTTGATGTTTTTTACCACAGGAAGGCATCGTCCGAGGCCGTTGTGTACCGCATTTTAACAGAAAAGCATTTTAACAGAAAAGATACTTGGTAGCAAAACTGCCTTTAATATGTTTTTGAAAAGGCAAAGCAAGTTGTCTGTAGCAAAACCTTTAAATTTGAAAAGGCAAAAAGTTGTCTAGTTTAACTGTTTCTGCCCGGTCTCGAACCGGGACCTTTCGCGTGTGAGGCGAACGTGATAACCACTACACTACAGAAACTGCCTCTTCAGTCCTAAGCCTGCAGATTGGCAGCCCAACAAATGTCTGTTTACTAAAACTGCACATCCACTGCAAATTCTATTTAGTCAACCGGAACTAAATTGGCAAAGAGGCCTCCTTAGCGCAGTAGCTAGTGGGTCAGTCTCATAATCTGAAGGTCGTGAGTTCGTCCCTGACAGTGGGCATGTTTTTAAAAGCTCATTTTTCAAAAGTGGCTCTGCCCCGAAAAGCCTTAGTTTTAATTGATGGTAAACGCAACCGAGGACTTCTCGATATGAGGTTGAACCTTGATGTTTTTTACCACAGGAAGGCATCGTCCGAGGCCGTTGTGTACCGCATTTTAACAGAAAAGATACTTGGTAGCAAAACCTTTAATATTTGAAAAGGCAAAGCAAGTTGTCTGGCGTTTAATCTAAAAAGTAGTACTGTTTCTGCCCGGTCTCGAACCGGGGACCTTTCGCGTGTGAGGCGAACGTGATAACCACTACACTACAGAAACTGCCTCTTCAGTCCTAAGCCTGCAGATTGGCAGCCCAACAAATGTCTGTTTACTAAAACTGCACATCCACTGCAAATTCTATTTAGTCACCTGGAACTGAATTGGCAAAGAGGCCTCCTTAGCGCAGTAGCTAGTGGGTCAGTCTCATAATCTGAAGGTCGTGAGTTCGATCCTGACAGTGGGCATGTTTTTAAAAGCTCATTTTTCAAAAGTGGCTCTGCCCCGAAAAGCCTTAGTTTTAATTGATGGTAAACGCAACCGAGGACTTCTCGATATGAGGTTGAACCTTGATGTTTTTTACCACAGGAAGGCATCGTCCGAGGCCGTTGTGTACAGCATTTTAACAGAAAAGATATTTTCTTGGTAGCAAAACTGCCTTTAATATGTTTTTTGAAAAGGCAAAGCAAGTTGTCTGTAGCAAAACCTTTAAATTTGAAAAGGCAAAGCAAGTTGTCTGGCGTTTAAAAAAGTAGTACTGTTTCTGCCCGGTCTCGAACGGGGACCTTTCGCGTGTGAGGCGAACGTGATAAATGCTACACTACAGAAACTGCCTCTTTGGTCAAAAGCCTGCAGATTGGCAGCCCAATAAATGTCTGTTTACTAAAACTGCACATCCACTGCAAATTCTATTTAGTCACCTGGAACTGAATTGGCAAAGAGGCCTCCTTAGCGCAGTAGCTAGTGGGTCAGTCTCATAA